CTTCTGCTCCAGCAGATCATGGTGTTGTTGAGGTAGTACTTCTTGTACTAGGAGGACTTTTCTCTAAAAGGATCATTTTAATCTCCAAATTGAATGTTGGAAGACTTCTCATGATCCATGACAACCTACTACTAGTACTAGTAGTACTATTATGAGGATAAATGGACACTAGTTTGTTTCTTTGCTCAATAATGGTGTGTGGTGCTGGTAGATACCTATTGAGAAGAAGACAGACAGAATAAACTAGTAAAGAGGGGTCTTCAAGAATCTCACTCCAAAATATGTGAATCTCTTATAGTAGTAGTGCTCCTCATAGTAACACCACAGCAGCAAATGCTGTTTTTTTTGGTTTCCTGCTAGACTAGTACTACTACTATTACTACTAGCAGAGCAGGGGAAGAGCAAAGGTCAACACAATGAAATGAAAATTCCCCATCAAACATGAACTTTATTTTTTTGAAGAACATGTCCAAACAATAGCAAGGAATTCCATTCCTTCTATTTCAGAAGATGAGAAGTACTGAGAACAATAACTAAACAACAAGAACAAGAACAACAAGAAGGTTGAGGATGAGCTTCTTCTCGCTTGTTGTTGTTCACTCTTGATTAGTGACACCAACTCATTCATTTCATTAGCATCATTTTGTTCACCATACCATTACTGTTCCCCAATGTACGACTTACTTTGTGTCATTACTATGTGCACTGGTAGCAGCCCAATCATCATTTTTTAGCAAAAACTGTTCTTTTTAGATGTGATCTACTAGTACTAGTAGTAGTACTGATAGTACATACACACCACAGTGTAAAGCACTTGCATACCAGTACTAGCATTAAAAACCATGACTAGACAAAGAACATATGAGCATTCCAAAATGCTTATGTTACTAATTTTTTTTTAACTTTAAAATATGTAACATTTTGGTCTAGCACCACCAGAAGCAATAGGAAAGCTAGAATCATCACTTCTTCTTGCTGGTAGAAGATTGCTACTACTACTTCTAGTAATTGCTGTGAAGGATAGCACTCCTGGAGGAGCACAACTGATAGCCAGTATGGTACTTACAGATGCAATACTTAGGTACTATGCTGGAATTATTTAAAGTATGATATATCAAATACCGGCATATCTTGAGTGATGCTCTCTAGTGACTATTCACAATTACTGGTAGTACTCGCAATGACAGAGGAAAATATTGAGCAATTAGATTGTTGGTAGTATTGCATCTTGAATGCTCCTGTAGATTGTTTTTTCATAAACTCTGATTAAGTAGTACTAATATCATGAGAAGGAAGTATTACTAGTGGCATCAAATGGAAAAGCTTCAAGGTGAGGAGGGGGAAAAGAGTGGCTTAAGTTGGACAAGTTTCAGACAGAGAGAAAAAAGCGTCTGAGTCTCTTCTTTGTTAATCATGCAGCTTGGTGTAAGGCCTCCTTATGGGAAACAGTGTGACAATGAATATCTCTATTGCTTTGCTCCAACACAGCACAACAAGATATCAATTGAGGAGATTCCTAATGTTAGGGAAGTCAACTGGCATGGGGAGAACAGTGGAGCACATGGATACTGTCTGGTGGGAACAGATAAATTGATACTTCCACTGTTTGAGCATTGTAGTACCAGTGTGGAGTTGGCCATTGTTTGAACATTGTAGTACCAGTGTGGAGTTGGCCATTGTTTGAGCATTGTAGTACCA